GACAACCCATACAGCATCATACCCCTCTTGGGTTCTAGGTAATCCCGTGACGAAATCCATTGTCATGTGGTCCCACTTCCAATCAGGAATAGGTAAGGGCTGCAACTCGCCACCAGGTCTCTGATGATCCGTTTTGACCTGTTTACATATTGCACATTTAGCCACAAAATTGGCAACGTCGCGTTTCATTCCGCGCCACCAGTATTGCCTTTTCAAGTCCATGTACATTTTAGTGCTCCCAGGGTGAATGGAAAACTTAGAGCGGTAAGCCTCATACAACACGGCATCTCGGAGATCAGGATCACTCGGAACCACAAGTTTCCCTCTCCGAAGGAGGAATCCCTCTGGACTTACCTGCCATTCCTCAATCTGTTCTCCACTTTGAAGCTGGTCCCAAACTTCACCAAGTTCTTCATCATGCCATTGCCCTTGCTTTACCAGTTGTATCAAGGTAGGAGTTGCCACAATGTTGAAGACACATGCCTTGTAACTGTCCTCATAGTATTGCAAATCAAAACTCCCAAACGGTAGTTAACCTATTCCAATCTTCAAATGCCAAACTAGCCAAGACTCCATGGCTCTTCCGGCTCAAAGCATCTGCTACAACATTAGCTTTTCCTGGGTGGTACTGAAGATTGAAATCGTAATCTTCCATATACTCTATCCATCTTCGTTGTCTCAAATTCAAATCTCGTTGGGTGAACAGGTACTTGAGGCTTTGATGGTTAGTAAAAAGCTCGAATTTTGCACCGTAGAGATAACACCTCCAAATTTTGAGTGCAAATATCACTGCAGCTAGTTCTAAGTCGTGGGTAGGGTAATTCACCTCATAGGGTTTCAACTGTCGTGAAGCATAAGCTACCACTCGACCTTCCTGCATCAACACACATCCCAATCCATTCCTAGAAGCGTCGGTAAACACTGTGTAGGGCTCGTTGCTGCTAGGGACTATGAGAATAGGAGCACTAGTGAGTCGATGTTTCAGCTCCATGAACGCTTCCTCACATTCTACATCCCAAACAAACCTAACATCCTTTCTCGTCAACCTTGTCAAAGGTGTTGCAATCCTCGAGAAATTTTCCACAAATCGCCGATAATATCCCGCTAACCCAAGGAAACTACGAATCTCTGACACATTCTTCGGATGCCCCCAGTTCAACACAGCCTCTACCTTGGAAGGATCAACTGATATGCCCTCTTGGGAAACAACATGTCCAAGGAATTGCACTTCAGTCATCCAGAAATCACACTTTTCTTCC